TGGGGAAGAAGGATAAACAGGCGAGATTCCTGTTGTGGAAATTTGGGGAGGAAAGAATAATGAGAGAGAGGTCAACAGTGCCAAATGCTACAGAGAGGTCAGTGAATTAGGGTTAGCAGAGTCACCCTGGCAATTAGGAGTCATTGGCGATAATGTCAGAAACAGCTTGAGTGGTGTGTAAGGGAGGCAGGAGGTAAATTCCATTCCATTGAGGTGGGAATGAGAAAAGGGATGAGGAGATTGTCAGTGTAGACTAGTCCTCAAGAGACTGGGTTTGTGAAGGGAAGAAAGTTATTGGTGGTGGCTAGAAAGGTGGTAAGGCTGAAGGGGGGGGTTTCTTCCTTTCTCTTCTCTTCCTTTCTTTTCTACCTGACATTCTTCTTTCCCGCTTTCAAGATGAGGGACACTTGAGTAAATTTATAGGCTAAAGAGAACCCAGTATAAAGGTCTAGGTTCGGACCGGCCGAGTGGCGCGATGGTTAAAAACTGGCTTGGGATGCCAGAGGGCCCCGGTTCAGATCCCACATATGAGGGCCAGTGACACTGCCCTCCACAGCTAAGATGCTGAACAACAGCTCAACCTGGAGCTGCGCTGCCCGTGAGCCGCCGGTGATGGCGTAGGCTGCAGCCCCTGTGGCAGTGGGTTGCCATGGGTTACCGTATGTAGCCAGCAGCCAGCGTGAGCGGCCAGAAGCTGCAGTGAGTGGCCATCCAGAAGCCGGCGATTGATCTGCCTCGCCCGGGAAAAGCACAATGATGGTGCCAACTTGGTCCTCCACAACTAGACTGAAGAACAAAACGACAGCAACTTGTCTGTTCCCCTTCCTCCAATTCCCCAGCACTGTTCCCATCCCCCCAATTCCCCAATAAAAATATTTAAAAAAAAAAGGTCTAGGTTCAAAATATAGAAAATTGGAGAGGGAGATATTTGCTGGAGAAATTAAATATAAAAGGGCATGCACAGATGAGGATGCACGTGGATATGAGTGAACTGCAGGAATAGCTGAAGGAAAGAAAATGGGGGAAAATCCATCCTGCAACCTAATTCTCTCTATCAAATAGGAACCAACATGCTCTGGACACTTTCTATGTTCTAAGAATTGTTAAAATTATTTTATTTTAACAATGTTAACTCACTAACTTCTTGCAACAACCTGTGAAGATGAAATTACTATCCTAATTTTACAAATGAGACAACTGAAGCAGCAAGGGATTAAGCAACTTGCCGGAGGTTATACAGCTACTAAGAGGCAGACCCAGGATGCAAAGCTGTTCACCATCGTATTATACTGCTGGAGAGGTAGGGTGTGTAGAGCACTTAAGATTTTGAATAACCATTGTGTTCACGGGACAGGTACAACAGAAGGTTGCTGAGTCACTCCAAATACTTTATCTGTGTTGGAAATGATAATTGTGTTGCATCATTAATCTGCAAGGTTGAGAGATTTCCTCTAGCAAAACTTGCCTTACTAGTTATAGGAGTGGAAATGTTTGGATGTTTGCTTTGATGGGGATTGGAGATTCGTGGCTTGGAAAGAGTGGGGGTGCCAGAGGGACAGCAATTGATGTGATGGATTGTGAACTCTAGGCTGTAAGGAGAAGAAACAAGAGCAGGACAAACTGATGGAATGGGAGGAAATATAGGAGAAGGTGCCTGAGGGCTCAAGGAGGTTGAAACTAGGTACAATATGAGTTGAGGAGCTGGATACTTGTGGAGGACAGGAAGTTGGGGTTATAGAGGAATACTTAATTCTCACAACAACTCTAGTTTTCCAAAGCGATGGTTGGCACCGGTGATGATAGGTAGATAATGTAGTTTTGGGAGCACATGAGTGAAATGGATTGGAGGTGAATCTTATGGTACACGAGGAGGTCAGGGTTGAGGCTGAGATCAGCAGAGATGTTGGGAAGATGTTGACTAGGCTCTGTCCTTATTAGAGGATGGTACCCAGAAGCCCTAAAGACTAATCTGGATTCTAGAAAGCTACAACTCACATATGTTATGGTCTTAGGGAAAGATATGAAAGATTAGCTGATATCAGGCATGCAATAAAAGTCACTCAATGGTCTCAATGAAACAATGCCAAAGAACAGCTGAATAGCTTATATTTTGTACTGTAGCTTTTGAGAAAGGAACTTGAAGGATCACTTGGCAAAACACCACATTTCACAAGTAACTTTAGACGCTTTAGCCAAATAGTTATTATTGCCCTGGAAAGAAAAGACTACGTGCTCTGATGAAATCTCTTCGTCTTCCTTTTCCCTCGTCTTTTCCTGTTCTCCTGATAGTGCATAATACAGCACTCTCTGGGCAGAGAGAAGCAGCTGAAGAGCATCAGGCTTCCAGATGTAGAGTTTGTTGTCACTTGTGGAGGTGGGGGTCATGGGAGAGGGGCTGGAAACTTCACTGGGAATCAGTGTGGTGTCTTTGCTTCTATAGTTAGCCATGTGATGGGAACCAGTAATATGTGTTTCCTTTGTACAGCTGTGCATACCACTGTCTCCTTTTCTCTTCTGTCCATTTAAGATTTCAGGAAATTAGAATTAGATCTGATGTAAGCTTAGAAAGTCCCCCCATATGAAGACATGGAGCTACTGCGTAGGGTTAGAATATGTGTGCTGGGTCTGATACATAAGTGGCATGTGTAGATAATGTATTAGGTAGGATGTTTTGGGGTGGAAGGAGCAGAAACTCCAACCTGAACTGGCTTCACTAGTAAAGAGAGGAATTCCTTCATGTAGTAGAAAGGCCAGAAGCAGAATCTCTGGGCTCTGACTTTGCTTCTCTGGGATTCTCTTGACTCAGTCCCTGCCATGTGTTGGTTTCATTTTCAATCTGATTCCCGTCATGGTCCCAAGATGGTTCCAGTTGTTTGAAGGGTCATATCAAGATAGGAAACATCCAGTGGAAGAATAGAAGCCATGTCTTCCTATCTCGTCAGGAGTGAGGAAACCTTTCCCAGAAGCTCCCAAAAGACTTTTCCTCAAGTCATTGGCAAGAATTGGGCCACTGCCCTTTCCTTAAACCAGCCTGTGACTGGGAGGGGCAACAGGGTTGCCATAATTCTTGATTAACCACTGGAGGTAGACTGGGTGTTGGGAATCATGTCTATGATAGAGGGAAGGCTTGAGGCCATTATTAGGAGATCCTAGCCTTGTCAAGAGGAAAGAGCCATGGTTGGCGGTCAAATCCCCAACGTCAGCATTTGCTGGCAGTATGAACTTGGACAAATGACCAACTTGTGTGAATCTCTGTTTTCTTTTGTAGGACACTGAGGGAGTTGTAAACACCTTATATAAGCCTTAAGAAGTTATAAAAATGCTAATTATTCATTTATTTATAATAGTAATGTTAAGAAAAATAACAACTTTCATTTACTGAGCAGTTACATGGTCCAGGCACTTGCTACGGGTTTAAATGATTCTCTATCGCTCACTAAACACACATCGAGCAACCATCATACTCAAGGCACTCTACTAACTGCTTGACTTCCAGTATCAGTTAAGGCAAAATCTGGAATAGTCAGGCTCAAGGGTAGGGATAGAGAATAGGTGAGGGCTCAGTTGCACCCATGGTTTCCATTTTTTGGCCTGTGTGACTGAGTAATGGCAGCTAGCTGCGGGGCCTCTGAGAACTGCTCTGTTATCTGCCTCAGATTGTCGTTCACTAACTAATTCCAGGCTCACTGCACAAGGGATTTGCAAAACAACATATGTATATGTGTATATATAATATACATATATATATATGTATATATATATATAAGTATATATATATATATATGTGTGTGTGTGTGTGTGTGTGTGTATGTATATACACACTTGTAGAACACTTGATGCTTTTCTTACCACTCATCCTTTATTTGCCCAAATATAAGCTTTTTGCATATTTATACTTTTGAAATAGTAGACGGATTTAGAAATGCTTATTAGATTCTTCTATATATTGTCTCATCTGAGCCTCATAAACAAATCATGCCTGAATTTGTATTGTATTCAGATGTAGTGGTCAAGAGACCTATCATGTAATGAAGTTAGTAAGTGGTGGGGGTATCATTTTTTTGGATGTTGTAAACTACCCTGCTTTCAACATCGTTGTCAGGTAAATTTCTTCCATATGTAGGTTTATACCCTTATGATAGATAGATTCCCTGATGGAGAATATAGCTGGGTTAAAAGGTTTGAACTTTTTATACGTATTGCCTGATTGGTTCATGGAAGGTTTTTGAATGGCAAAAATGACACACTTGTAGTGCTACTTTGGGATTATGTGTTTTCTCATTTTATGGTGTTTCATATGTCTGGGATCATCAAATATTTCCATAAAATCTGAACTGTTCTGATACAATGTAAGTTCCTTTTTCCCAGGTCCCCCTCGCAATTATAATAAGAGTGGTGTTTCTGTGGCTCAGCCTGTACTGGATTTTGAGGAAATCCCTCCCTATTTGTCCCTAACGTCCTGGGGAGAAACTAAACTTGTGCATTTTGATTCATCTTCCCCTTAGGGTGAGTTACTGCTCTGAGGCTTCTTGATCTGCATGCGGATAGACTCCCTGAAGGCCTGTCTTTCAGACACATCTGCTTTTTATTTATAGTTCTGTCCCTCACACTGGGAATTCCGCTATACTCTTAAGACAGTCTGTGAGTAAATTGATGGGAAAAATGAAGTGGGAGATATTCTTTTTGCTGACGCAGTATGAATCTGGAGTATTTGTTTTGGCGTTGTGGTGGAGGTGGAAAGACTTTCATTCATGTGACTCCACGTCCCATGTCATTTTTTCAACAATTCCTCAGATGCTTCTCCCCATCTCTTCCCACACCTCCCCCCGCCCTCCCCCCCGCCGCCACACGATATATTGATGAATGAAGCTATGTAGCAACAGAAAATCAGAGGAAAGAACTGCCACTAGTCTTAGATTTTTTAAAATCATAGTTGCAGCCATAGTGTATACGATATCAATTGTGTTTATGTTTTGTTCTCTGCCTGTACGTTTCCCTAGGTGATGTGTCAGGCAAGAGGATAAGAGTGGGATCACCCCTGCCTTGGAAGGGTCCATGAACAGGCTGACCACCCCGTGAGACCAGCCCCGTGGGGGAGGTGGAGAGAGTGCTGTGGCAGCAACTAGATTGTTTGGGGAGGATTCCAGACAACCCTGTGAAGTAGGTACAAAATGGGGGCCTGGAAGACCACTCCTACCTGATTACACAGCGAGCCAATGGGAAAGCCTGGATGTCAGCCCAAACCTTTCTACATTCAAGTTGTATGTTCTTTATTTGCTTTTCTGGGTTTCTTTTTCTAGATCTGAATTTTCAAAATTGCCTCTAAAGTAATTCAGACTTGACAGAAGGGAATAAAGGGCAAATTGCTCCCTCCATCTTCTCCCATACCTCAGGCTTACGCTGCTAACAGTTTGCTGGGTGTGCTCCCAGCATGAACAAATCACCTAAGGAAACCAAGGGTGCCTGTCTCCAGCCAGGCAGAACAGCTGTGAGCATAGAGGCTGTGGGTCAGGAATATGTTGTCCTCCCTGGGACCTACCTGGGTGAGGCTTTGGGAAACCAGGGCACTCCCAGGTTTAGCAGCAACAGAGTGTACCGGCAGCCACCCCTTTGGGCAAGGAGAGCTGTTTGTGCTGCCCTGGCCCTCTGCCTGGCGCTGACCTGCCTTGCCCAAGCAGAGAGCAGAGCCCCTTACCGCGGAGAGGTTGGGAGGAGGGCCAGGGGCTGCCCATTGCTCGTCTCTGTTTTCGCAGTGCCTGCATTTGTTGGTGCCCAGCTACTAATGCATGAAACGCATGGTGATGCCCAGGCCTAGTCCTGCAGGTCCAGCATTGGAGTGACTTTGGGCAAGTCACTTCAAGATCAGAAGAATCGAGTCTCAGTTTCTCCAAATCTCAGGTGCACTGTTCTTTTTCTCCTCGTTTTAATGTTTCTGAAATAAGATGTGATGGACATTGGATGGATATATTTAATATCCTAGTGTTTGTTAACTTTTCCTTGAAAAGTTGTTAGGAAGTCAGGGATAACTTACAAGTTATGTTATTTTAGGATTGTGGGAATGTGGTAATCAGTCTTTTGAGGCGTTGTTTGGAGAGTGCTGTAAACTATAAAAGATCAGAAAACTGGGGCCGGCCGAGTGGCACATTGGTTAAGAGTTGGCTTGGGATGCCAGAGGGCCCCGGTTCGGATCCCACATATGAGGGCCAGTGACACTGCCCTCTACAGCTAAGATGCTGAACAACAGCTCAACCTGGAGCTGGGCTGCCAGGAGTCACCAGCGACGGCATAAGCTGCAGCCCCTGCTGCAGTGGGTTGCCATGGGCTACCGTATGTAGCCAGCAGCCAGCGTGAGCGGCCAGCAGCCGCCGTGAGCAGCCATCCAGAAGCCGGCGACTGATCTGCCTCGCCAGGGAAGAGAGCAATGATGGTGCCAACTTGGGCCAGTGAAGCAACGTCCTCCACAACTAGACTGAAGAACAAAAGGACAGCAACTCCCCCAATTCCCCAGCGCTGTTCCCATCACCCAATTCCTCAATTTAAAAAAAAAAAAAGTGATGGTCTTCTACTCAAGACGTGAATAGTGTTGGTGTTCTCGGTGATAAGAATGTACATTTTTAATCCCACCCTTTCCACAAGAGGACTCAATAAACTATTTTCATTTTGAATTAAAAAAACAAACAAACATGGCTCTTAAACATTTGATTTTTTTCTTTTTTTTAATTAGGCCTTGGCAAAATCTGTTTGCCTATCGTGGATTTAGTGGATTCCTGGCCTTTATTGGAAATGTCAGGTTGACCACAAAACTCTTGTAATCTGAGCAGAATGTTAATCCAAGAGAGGTGCTGTAGTTCAAATGGGAAATAGCAGTGTCACTTGGTCCCTACGATATGCCGGTAGTATGGAGGGATTGAAAACAATTACTCAGACTATGCCTGGCCAGGTGGAGTTCTGTTTGGAGAGGCTTCAAACGGTGACGGCGAGGCACAGAGCTAAAATTCCTCTTTCCAGCTCAATTCAGTCGATTTGTCTTCATAACAAGTGTGAAGGAGTTTACAATCTAATAGGAAACCAGGGAGACGTTTACCTTGCCAGCGTGCTAAGCAAATAACCAGAGAACACGAGATCACAGAGAGAACATCTATATTCCTACAAGAAATCTTATCAGTTATTTAGAGTATCCATTTACAAGTAAATGGTGTGTCATAGCACTTAAACCAGGGGTTGCAAGGTCAAACGTCTTTGGGGGCCCGAGTGTAGAGTACCTGAGCCGTGACACAATTGAGAGGACTGGGCTTCGGCCAAATGGAGGAGAACGTGTAAGGATTTATTCTCTCACCATTTAGCAGATGCTTAAGTTCTGTCCTTGATTTAGGGAGACATTAGTGGATAAAACCGACAAAAATCCCTGTCCTCCTGAGTTTGCATTTGTTGCTGCCTTGAAAAACAAATAACTAAGCCCATTAGAATGACCTCTAGAGTAAAATTGAATGGGTCAGACACATTGGTCTGTTTCTGTGAATAAATTGCACAGATTTCAATTTTGCTAGCTTTTAGGCCTTTTTCAGGTAGCTAATATTTCTGGATAAGTGATTTCTGGGTAAGTGAGATTATTGTAATTATAATATAAGTAGAGGTCATTTATTTTTGGCATTCTGCTTGGTCTGTGGCTTTAATTTGCCAAATAACCATAATTATAAAATAGCATTGGCTCTACAAGGCAGCATCTGGTTTGTTGAACTCTAAGTTTTGCTGTTTAATTGAAAATAAAGCATTATGAAAAACCCTGTATGTCCTTGTGCTGACTGTGATGACTTTCTGCAGTTAATTAGTGATGACTTAGTGCATGGAATCCACTGGCGGATGCATGACTGCCCAGTTCAGTGGATTCCATGACCTGGGCGACAGAGCTGTGTCTTGAGCTGGGAGCTCCCCAGGAAGCCGTCCCGCAGGGAGCCCTGCTCTCCCAGACCTGGCTTTCTGTAATGTGACTGATGAGGTCATTAGAATAACAAGCCTGGGAGCTTGGACCTGGGAACCATGTGCCTTTCCTTTGAGCTTCTTGTGGGAAAATGGGGATAAGAAGCATTTGTGACTGCATTTATCTTCAATTTCAAGGACCAGAACTTTGCTGGGCCTGCAAAGTCAGGCAGAATTGATAGTGGTGGAGAGGGAGCATGCGGGCTGCCGGCAGGGAATAGAGCCCCCTGGTTCTGGCTGTTCTTGTTCGTCTTCAATGCTCGGGGTGACTGTTTTTAGCAAATTAGCAGGCATTAAGGATGTGAGTGTGGCCCGGATTCCTGTCTCAGGAGCTGCTTCGCTTGTGCAGCCAGGAGCTTCTGTCTTCTCCAGTATGTCGGGGTGATGCCTTGAGCTAGGAAATTCACCACGCCAGTGTCTCAGCATTCCCCACCTTGGGGATTTTCTACTGGAAGGACCTGAGCCTTGCTAGGCCATAAGTATTACAGAAGTGCTTTTGGGTTGTCAAGTGAGTGTGTGTCCAGCCGGCCTCTCCTCTGTGTGATTGGTCCCTCTATCAGCCTCTTGATAAATATTATGAATATTGCCCAGGGTATCTGAGGTTCAATTAGTAACATTTCTCACATTTTTTCCTCCATAGTAAGTTTGGAAGTGTACCACTACTTAGTTAGTATTTTAAATTAATCATTAATCATTTATATTTGTTATTAGTTATTAACATATTACAGGTATAAATAGTTAATACATATTTTTTTAAAGGTAAGGAAATAGGAAGGTCCCTGAAGTGTAAGATTGTAGGAACATTTGTGAATGACCATAGTTCACCCAAAAGAAGGATCCTCAGGAATGTAGTGCGACCTGATATGTCACGTGATTGAATCGTACAACACCTTTTTGGGAGAGAAAAATCAGAAGCAACCTAACTGTCCAACAATAGAGGATTCGTAAAGTCAATTACAGTATTTCATATAATCAAATACTTTGCCGCGATTAGAATGATCAACTAGAGTACAGTTTAACATTAATGGTATCAAATTAAATGACAAGAGCAAATTACAGATAGAATGATCACCGTTTTGCTTTTTTTAAATTGTGGTAAAATATATATAATGTGAAATGTACCCTTCTGACCGTTTTTAAGAGTCCAGCTCTGTGACATTAAGTACATTTACAATGTTGTACAACTATCACCACCATCCATCTCCAGAACATTTTTTTTTATCATCTCAAACTGAAACTCCATACACGTTAAACAATGAATCCTCATTCTTCCTTCTCCCAGCCCCTGGCAACCACCACTCTACTTCCTGCCTCTATGAATTTGACCACCCTGGGTACCTCATGTAAGTGAAATCATACAATATTTGTCCCTTTGTGACTGGCTTATTTCACTCAGCATAATGTCCTCAAGTTTATCCATTTTGTAATGTGTGTCAGAATTTCCTTCCTTTTTAAGGCTGAATAGTATTCTATATACTGGGGATGCCAAAAAAATGTATAAAAGTGGACGCTTTGGTCAACGTTGCTCAAGCAGTAGTTTGCGATACTCTGAAGTGTCTGGATGCTGACGGTAACCACTTTGAGCACCTCTTATAATTGCAGAAGTCAAACATGACTTGTATTCATCCTTTGTTATTGGTATATATTGAGTATTATAATTTTAATGCATTTTTCCTTTATTAAAATGTGTGTACATTTTTTTGGTACCCTCTGTATATACCACATTTTGTTTATCCTTTCATCTGGACATTTGTGTTGCTTCTACCTTTTTTGTTTTGATTATTGTGAATAATGCTGTTATGAACATGGATGTACAAATGTCTGTTTAAGTCCTGTCTCTCACCACTTTTGGGCATATATACCCAGAAGTGGAATTGATGGATCATATGGTAGTACTATTTTTAATTTTTTTGAGGAACTGCCATGCTGTCTTCCATTGTGGCTGCACCATTTTACGTTCCCATCAGCAATGCACAAGGGTTCCAATTTCTCCACATCCTTGCTAACATTTGGTATTTTCTAATTTTTTTTGCTTTTTTTTTTATAGTAGCCATTGTGATGTGTGTGAAGTTTCGGTTTTCTTTTTAAAAAGATGTATTTACATACACATACTACAGAAAAAAAATTCTCCAAAGGATTTACTCCAAATAGAAACAGTGCTTATTGGGTGGCAGGATATAGACGATTTTTATTGTCTTTTTGCTCTATTCTCTCCTTTTTTCCCCCCTCATTAAGCATGTATAATATGTCTTATTAAAAAGGTTGGAAACTCAGAATCAAGCTATCTCAATTCAGAGGTTGAAGGTACCTTCCGTTTGACCCTGGCTGTGGAACCTTCACGTGGGCCCTCATACTTGTTGATTTTGAACTTGGTGCTGCCTCTGTCGTGTTGCCACTCTCCACAGTGAGGCTGTCTGTGGATGCTCCGGTGCTTGAGGCCTGGCTGCCATACGTTCCTCTGCCCAGTGAAGCAGAAACAGGACTCCTTGGCAGTGGATTAGATTGCAGCCACTGTTATAATCAGCCTGTGGCTCTTGGGTGCCTTAGGCCATCTTCTTACCCCATTTTGATATTTAGCCCAAATAAATCTCCTTTTTTGTTATGTTTACTCCCCAAGGTCCTGGCTGGTCATCTTAGTTGATTACAAATGAAAAGGATGGGTACTTTCTTTCTATCCTGTGGAATTATATATTCTGTAATTTTCCAAAGAGTTTTAAGCTCATAACAAGTGTATACGGCAGCCTAAAAAGCAGCCGAGATTGCATGTGTACCAATTCAGAAGGAGCTGAAATGATTCTTTCATGGATTAAATTACCACCTTTATAAAAATAAGGGTTGTCCAGCTTACAATATCATGTATTCCTTTTTTTGGTTGTTGTTATTATATTTGACCACGTGGAGGCTGAAAGGGTGGATTACAA